TAGTCTGCATTTTATGTCAAAGATGAATGGGACCTTTCAGGCTTGAGTACTCAGATCTGTGTTTAGGAAATTCCCAGTCCCAGAAAGACAAATGTGTGGAATTCCTCTTTGACAATTTCCTCCGTGGTACTTTCAAATGTTTCCCAACGCCTGAAGCCTACAATCTGCTCTTTCCCCAGAACATTATTTGCCTCCCAGGAGCTCACAAGATTGCAGCCATATGGGGGGCATGTTCTTAAATCTCTCAGTTTTCACCCCACAATCTCATGTCCACTAGCCTCTTTCTTCCTTCTTTCCAATGTCAACCTTTCTAGTCCTCTCAGGTCCAGGTCTCTGAAGGAAGAGCCATCTCATACCCTTTTACAGCTCCAGGCGGCCAGGGATAGGGCCATGGGACAACCTGCACTTCACAAGAGTTGTTGACTAAATAGTGGACTTGGAGGGCCCAGACCAGTACATTAGTGTTTTCCAGGTCAGAGCAGGAGAATTAGGACGTAGATGTTGAAATGGAGAGAAACAGTCATTTTTTTGAAGTTTTGGTGACTTTCAAACATGCACTTTAGACCCAAAAGAGAAGACCTCAAGGGAAGCAGGGTCAGAACTGAAGCCTTAATCACAGATTAGAAAGAGGGCAGAGAAAGAGGCTGACAGCTCAGGTCACCTGGTGATGAGGGTCACCTGAGATGAAAGGGGGCTGCTTTGGAGTATGACCTGCCATCTGGACTTTCACGAGTCTTTCTTTAGAGATTCCAGCAGATCACCCTCTCCCTTTACTCCCTCTGATTCCACTTCTGTTTTTGCCTGTGTTTTTCTCTCTCCATGCATCTCACAATCAGTATTTTCTGAACAAAGGTCAGCTGCTATCCATACTGAACACATTTCCACATCTGGATACCTCAGAGTCTAAGGGCCACCCCATGACTCTTTTAGATCTAACCACTGACCCTGGTCTAATTAGTGCAGCCAAGTCACAGAAGACACTAACGTTGGTAGCCAACGTTGAAGGAAAAAATTGTGGCTGATTTTTGAAGGGGACTGTTAGGCAGCTAGAATTTTACAGTTGCCTTACCTGTACGCCTAGTGAACCCCTGGGTTGAAATTAGGCTAGAATTGCCAGATTTAGCAAAAACAAGTATAGCATCCCCAGTTAAATTTGAATTTCATATAAACAACAGATAATACTGAATGCAACACGCGGGGCATACTTATATGTGCTCAGATGGCTGCTTGAGTTCCAGGCATAGTGTCTACATCCTAACCTGCAGAAGAGGGGAAGGAGGCAAAGGGCCTGACCATTCCTGTTTCCTCAAGTTAACACTGTATACCTAGTCAGCTGGTGAGAATTCAGTCATATGGTCACATCTAACTACAAGGAAGGGTGGGAAAGCAGTCTTTATAAGGGACAGCCACATGCTCAGTTAAAAGTCAAGGACTGTGACTGAGGAGGAGGTGGGGGGAGAAAATATGGAGGGTCAACCAGTCATCTCTGTCAGAGAAATGATGGGAGGAAAGGCATGTTTTGGAGGTAAAATAAATTGAACTGGATTGAGTATAATGATGCTGTTACTGGGTTGCAAAAGTGAAAGAGGAATAAAAGATGTCTTTAGATTTTATTTCAACCAGATCAATTTACAGTAGGGAGGTCCCTTTAAACAGAAATAGAAAACACAACAGAAACATACATGCAAAGTGTATTAAGTGTATACCGTAGTGCTCTGAGTAAGGCACTATAAAGACCCCAAGGTCATGACACAGTTGCTAACCAATTCTAGCAGGTGACAGTGTAGCCTTCTTCCCTCCACTTACCTAAGACAGTGGATTACCTACAGGCATTTGCTATTATTAATGTTATAAAATAAAATGTTTAGCATGTTGCCTGGCACATAGTAAATGTTCAATAAAGTGATGAATGCTTAACCTTTTAACCTACATTTTCAAACAGAATAGTCATCCAGGAGATCAAATGGAAAACTAAAGTATAGAAGTTGAGGCTTCTTGTGAAAATCAGTGGGAGAGGCTTTCTGCAGTGGGTATAGCAATGCACAGTATAGATACCATCCTGCAAACTGGCTCTGTGGGCCAGGCAGTGATAGAAACCAATCTGCTTTTTCTGAGAGGAGGCAGAATAGCTGTTGGCTCATTGTGCCCTGTTGACTTTCCTGAGAAACTGAATCTATGATAGGAGAAAAGAGAGGTAGTAGAAAAACCCTGGAATAAAAGTCAAAGATGAAGACATTCATAAACACTACAGTTCCCATGCTCGCTCAGCCACAGCGTTAAGGCCAAGGAGAGCAATGCAGCTTTAATTTAGTTTTGGGGCATGGACTAAGAGCCAAGCACATGCTGAGTACTTCCAGGCATATTATCTCAACTCCAGGGTGGGGGACCAGGGTGATAGTGGCTAGAGAGCAGGTGCGGACAGGCTTGTCTAGGAGATGGTTGTCACCTTCCACAGCAAGAAAGACAGGCATAAACAGAAATAACTCAGATACAGAGGGAAAACATGAAGGAGTGAAAAGTAGAGACAGTGTTAAAAGTATGGAGGTGGGAACGATTAATTACAAGGGTTAGGAATACTTTCTAGAAGGAAGTGGGATTTAAACTGAGTCTTGAGAGGTAGGTAGAATTATAGTATTTAAGAGAGAGAGGAAATTTTTCTCAGGCAGAGGGCACACCATAAATAAAGATGTGAAAAGGCTGATTGTGAGGGACACGGTGGCTCGAGCTTTCGTGTCTATGGAGCTTTCGAGCCATGGGATGGTGACAAACTGTGGAGGGCTTCTCACTGCAGGTCGAAGATTTATGACTTTATCACAAAGGCAACCATTAAGAGTTCCGAGCAGGGTCGAAGCAGGATAGGTCTGCGATGCAGGGACGTGGCAATGGGGAGGATGGGCTGGAAGACTCAAAGGTCAGAGGTATGGAGACCAGTCCTAAAGCTGCTGTAATTGTCTAAACAACTGCAAATAAAATCTTACACGAACAAAAGAATGTCGTGGTCCCGGAACAGCCCTGGTTGGAATGGTTATTAGTTACTTATCAACTGAGTGACCACATTAAGTTACTCAACCTGAGGCTCATATTATATGTTTTCTGATATACTGATAACTACATCCCAAGTATGATGTGGAGAGTAAATACACATGCGCGAAGTCCCTGGTGAAGGGTCATTACTCAGGAAAAGCTATTTTCAAAGTTTCTCCCTTATTCGTTCTAAGGACAACCTGCAGGACGTGTGTCACTCCTGTTGTAGTACCTTAGGGTCCTTCTGCAATAGCTTGATTCATCTGTCTTCTGTCTTCCTGGAGGCTGTGGCCCATCAGGACTTCTGGAGGGTCCCAGCCCTGGTCTCTGTATCCCGGGCCTCTGGGCCTGGCCTGCGCGCACAGCAGGCGCGGGGGCCAGCGTGCGGCGTGCCAGGGGCGGGCGCGGGGGGCTGGCGGGCAGCGCGGCCCGCAGGTATCCGCCAGCTCTCCGGGCGGTGCCTAAGGGAGACCCCCGCGGCGGGCACAGCCCCAGGCCTCTTCAGGGGGTTCTGCGCGCTCCCTCCTCCTGAGGGGCGCGGGCTAAGGATGAGGGACCCGAGCGACTCACTTCCAACTCAGAACAGAAATCCCCTTCCCTAGGCCTTCAGAGGCTCTCAGGAAACCCAGCCCCTTCGCCCTCATTTCTGGCCCTTCTTCCTGCCCCGGGCAGCCGGCGCGCGCCGTTTTCCAGAAGCGGCCGGGCCGGAGGGGGCGGCGGAGCGGGGCGGCGCACGGGGCCGGAGGAGGGGGTGGGCCGGGGGAGGGGAGTCCGGGAACTTTTTAAGACTCGGCCTCGAGGCCCCTCGCTGACACGGCAGGCGGCGCCGCGGCCAGGCTAGCCTCTCGGGCCCGGAGCCTCCGCGGGCTGCACAGTCGCCCGGCGCGCCGCTCAAACAGAGACTCCGGCTGTCCCCGCGGCCGCGCACGATCCGCACGGCGGAAGACGTGCCGGCGGGCATGGGCTGCTTCTCGCCGGAGCTGTGGCTGCGGCAGCTGCTCAGCGGCCCGGGCCTGGGCCTCGCCGCGGCCCTGCTGCTGCTGCTCCTGTGCCTGCGCGCCCGGCGCACCAGGTAAGAAGCGCCCCGCCGCCCCGCCGCCCCGCCGCCCCGCCGCGCGGCCCCGCGCCCCGGCCACGCATGCGTCCTGGGCCCCGCCACCGCGCGCGACGCGGAGGGCCCCGCTGTCCCCTCCGTGACAGCGAGCGCAGATAGTCACAACTTCAGCGGGCGCCTGCGTCTCCGGGGTCGTGTGAGAAGACAAAGGCTCTCTCTGCCTCTCCCCTGCATCCGCGTACGCAGGCGAGCTGTTGGACTCGGTTTGCGTGCCTCCCAGGCTGCAGGAAGCCAAGCCCCAGGTTTGCACTACCCGTTAGGCATCACGCATTTTGGTGCCTTGTTACAGTGAGCTCATGCTTTATGGCCCAGCATTCATAGACTATTTCAGGAGGGGACGTTTCACATTTCATTCAGTTAAAAGTGAAGTGTTTTAGGAAAATGCCAATGTATGGAATGAACAGTATCTCTGAGTGCCTCTTGGTGCCTCAGTTTACCACTGGCCCAAATCTGGAAAAATGAAATGATAGGACCTCATGGGATTTTCACGAGTACTGAATGCGTCTGTAGTGTGTGTTTTATGCACTTGCTCTATTATTTTTATTAGAACAAAACAACAACAAAACCCAGAAGTGTGTCGCTTCATTATCTGATTTGAAATGTCGAAGTAGAAACAAGAGAAGTTCAATATAAAAACACTCACTTTGAAATCATCCATTTTCCTTTTCTTACTGGGTCACTTTTTCATACCAGTTTCCTAATAGCTTTTTTTTTAAACCCCCCGTTTGTTTTTGTTTTTTGTCTGATCACCTGGGTGGAGTGTGGTGTCATTTCCTGAGAAAGGGCAGGTTTGCGGGAATTGAAGAGATTGATAATTTTGTTTGGACATGTCAGACAGACAGGTAGTCAAGTGTGTGTTTCTGGTGCTCTGTGGACAGATCCAGTCTTGATATATAATTATGCAAGTCACAAATATGAACATGGACTGTAAAGTCATGAGTATAGATCAGATCACCTGGTGAGAGAGTTTGATGGAGAAGCAGGGGGCCCTGCCACTCGCCTTATTAGAGAGTCTGGCAGAGGAAGAACCACCAAAGGGCACTGAGAAGGAGGAGCCAATGGCATGGGAAGAAAACCAAGTGAATATGGTGTCATGGAAGCTAGATAGGGACAGGTTTAAACAAGCAGGGGAAGTTAATCTGTGTCAGATGCTGCTGCGAAGACTATAGTCTTTTGAGATCAAAGGACCATCAGAGTTGACAAGATGCAGACTTAATAAGAGTTAAAGTTGATCACTGAGAGTTAATGGAAATGACAGCCTGTTTGAAATGGATTGGAATGCTGTCTGTCCTCCAACAGCTTCTAAGATTTTATGTTGAGACATGAGTGTGATTTAGTAACATGTTTCATACCTCTTGAGCTCATAATCCCAGTAATTTTATTGAAAAGAATTTCTTCTGGTGAAATAATTATAAAGGCCCTTAAAGATTTAACCACAGCAGTCGCAATTAGGGCAACTTATATAGTGAAACATTAGGGGAAAAAAACTTTTATTTCCAAAAAATAATTGATTTAGTTAAAGAAACTCTAGCATATCCAAATAATAGAAACATATGTAGCCATAAAAAATATAATGTAGAATGTATGAAGTCATAGAAAGCCATATTCAAGATATATATATGTTTTTTTCAAATAGCGGTATTTTCTTCTCTTTTTCTTTTTCTGTTTTTTGGGGGGGGAGGGGAAATAATTAGATTTACTTATTTATTCTTAGAGGAGGTAGCAGGGATTGAACCCAGGACCTCCTGCATACTAAGCATGCACTCTACCACTTATGCTATGCCCTCCCCACCTCAAGATATATTAAGTAAAAAGAAAAATTACACACAGAATATGTTCATATACATGGTGTCAGTGACCTCCAGCCGAAGACCACCAGGCACACACCTGCAGTGGAACAAGCTGAGTTCTCGCTTATGGCAGCGAGAAGGAAGACACACCATTCATTCTAGGGATGGGTGTTACGAAGGACCCATTTAAAGGATTTGGGTTTGTGTTATGTGACTTTGGGAAGGGTTCAAGGAAGCAAGGTTTTGCTCTGTGGGTAAGATACTCTCAGAAAGCTGGAGCTAATCTATGACTGGACACCTAAATAAACCTCCTCTGTGAGTAAAGAGGAATGGATTAAGGCTAAATCAGTAATTCGTAAATGAGCAACAAATACGAGTGTTAGTAAGGGTTGGAGGGTGTTTGGTCCTTTTATTCATTTAGACAGTGTTCATGATTTTGTCAGTATTTAGACGTGATTATAGATGGATCTTGTTTCTGACTTTATCCAGAATAGTCATGGAGTGGCATGCATGGCCTAATGTTTGTGCAACTGTTTATGTTCAGCAGAAGAGCAAAGTGTGGTAGCTATTGTTGATTGAAAAAAATGCACAACCTACAAGTTGTGAGCTATGTTTCATTCATTTGGGGACCTTACTGAGGACTACATAGCCCGGGAGACAGCCGCTCAGATGTCTCTGAGACACTGTTCCAAAGACGTAAGGGAGGAACCAGGCTATATGGGAGTTTTTGCTGGAAAACAAAAATGTAGTTAACATCAAAAGATTGCTGCTGATCACAAAAACCAGACATCTCAAGTTAATGATTTCAGGCTTTTCCATAAATGGGTAGATGCAAGAGTCTGTGCTCATTGAAATTATTTCTTTGATAATGCGTCTTCACTGTCTAGTGCCAGTATCCTGTTTTTCCCCATCCTGAATTCCTCTCAGGACACACCACACCATCGGGGGTGGCTGCAGTGGCTGACGGCTGGCAACATTCCTTGTTTACTGAAACGGCAAACATCATTTCTTGTCCACACTTTGAGTGCCAAGCAAGCAGCTCAGTGTCAGCATTGCTTTTATCTTTCTTAAAAATGGAAAAGGCTGCAAGGATACGTCTCAGACATTTTGGGAGGCTAAATTTATATACAATGAAATGTGCAGATTTTAAGTGTACCGTTGAATTAGTTCTCATAAATGTACACACCTGTGTAACTGTCACTCCAATCAAGATATAGAACACTTTCATCACCCCGGGAAGTTTTCCCACACACTGTTCTCGTAAGGCCCTACCCCTAGGCTCTGATTTAGTTTTGCCTGTTCTTGAACTTCATGTAAATGGGATTATGCAATATCTACTTTTGTGCATGGCTTCTTTCTGTCAACAGAAAGATTTTGAGATTCACCCATGTTGTTGAATATATCAGTAATTCATTTATTCTATTTCACTGCAGAGTAGTTTGCATTGTCTCTGTATATAATCTGTGGTGTATATATATAAAATATATATAGTACTTTTATTATGTGTGTGTATGTATATGTGTATACCACAATTTGGTCATCTATTGTTCTGTTGATGGACATTTAGTTATTTCCAGTTTGGGACTATTGCTAATAAAGCTTATGTAAACATTCTTTTACAGAACTTTTGTGGACATATACTTAGCTTTTTCCTTGAGTTACAATCTTGAAACCTATGAGAGGGTTGATGAATCATAGGGTAAAGTCTTATATTCACAACTGTTTTGGAAAATTACCATTATTTCTGTCATCCTTGTCAAAATTCTCCCAGTCTCTGCCCATTGCCCAATTCCAAAGCGACTTCTCATTTTTAGGTATTTGTTACAGCAGCATGTCACTTCTGGGTACCAAAATCTGTGTGAGTTTCCTATTGCTGCTATAATAAATTACCCACAGATTTAGTGGTGTGGAACAGCACAGACTGACTCTTTGAGGTCTGGAGATCAGAGTGTTACTGAGCTAAAACAGGGTGTCAGCAGGGCTGAGGCCCTTCTGGAGGCTTTAGGAGAGAACCTACATTGTGGGAACACAACTGACCTTGCACTGGCTGAGAAAAGCCTTCCACTAGAGAAAGAACTCAAAGATTGCGCCCAGGAGAGACACGTCACCACATGGCATTTTCTGGGTGACATCAGAGAGGATCCCTTCCTCAGCAGGAGAGTCAAAGGGTCTGCAGTTCTGTGACCACTGACCAGTCGGGGTAATCTGAGGCATCTTCCTTAGCGGAAAACGGAAGTAACAGCTACCATACAAGGTAGATATGAGAAAGGTGAAGGCGTGTTTGTAAAGTGTGAGGTCACTTTGAAGACAGCTGTGGCTTGCATAGTCAGGTCTCTTTGGTACTTTCCAGAGACCCCTTTCTCCTAGTCGCTGTTTAGGGAGGAAAAAAAAAAGTGGGATGGGTTTCTTTACCTCTTTCATCCCTCACACATATCCCCACACCCCCAAGAGGCTGTAATTGGTGAGAAATAAGATTTAAATGTTTTTGAGATAAATCTTAGTCAAGTAAAAATTCAATTAGTGCTTTTTTCTTGAGTTGCAAGATGTCAAGGTTATGTAGATAACGAGTTGTTTTGAAATGTTGGTTTGTTGACATCACTCTGTCACACAAGTCAATTTTATTTCCTCCTTCTAATTATTTACTCATGAACAAGACCCCCGGAGCTCTCGACCCCTCACATTGTTACACTCCTGCGTCAACGAGAAGAACTAGGTTGCCATCATTAGAGGATGTTTTTCTTGTTTCCTCCCCTTTTCTCATAACAAAATGTGGGGAAAGGATGTGGGCAGCTGAAAGCAAAGTCATTTTCTCCTCAAGAGTATGCTGACTTTAACAGGTGGGTCTCTCTGTTCTTACACAGGAGGTGCTGGCTCTCTGGGCACATTTGTGGCTCTTGGTTCAGTGACTAATCAGGGACTGCATGGTGCTGCCCTGACCCTTACTAAGCTGTAGAGTTTGGTTTGGTCTTGTTGCCATTTGAGACATTTGGGGCTGCATCACTATTTTATTTTGTAACTTAAAAAAAAAAAAGTTCCTAGAGATGGAGAGTATTCCTACCGTGTAATGAGAGGAACATGTAAGTTCTGAAAAGCACATGCTTTGCTGTCTTTGTGTGACATCTAAAGTAGGTATTTGCTGGGTCTTGGGACGTTCAGAACTGCCAGCTG